GGGGTATCAGGGTAGGTGTTCGATCGCTTCATTCAGAAAACTGCAACAACAAACCATGATGTGTTGCATATATATTATATATATATATATATGTAGGACATACGTTCGCACACAGCGCTACTGCTGTAGGTCTTCCTGCCGACGTCAAACCGTCACAAACGGAACGGGAGATAGTGCTTTGTGGGCAGGGAATCAAGAAGGCGGGAGATGGGGGAAAAGACACCCCAGATAGATGAGATGTTGCTGTACGAGGATAGTCTGCGTGTGAGAGAGTGAAGCGAGGCCAGCTGTATGGATTGCCTACAACCTCGCTCTTTTGTCCCCGTATCTAGGCGGTCCCGTGTATTTGATAGCATCGAGGATTGTCAAGTGGAAAAAAACAAAGAGTGACCATCTTGGTTGCGTGGGGTACTTCGGAGCTGACAAAATAGGAACGATTTCCCCATGGCCCTTGTCTCCCTTCTTGGTCAACAAGTGTGAGTGTGTGCATCTGCCGGGGAGCCCGTCGTTTTTTCGCATGGATCAGAAACAAGCAATTTTTTGGGGAAACGAGGTCCTACTCTTATCGCTGCCGATTCCCTGGCCAACTGTTGTCGCATCGTAGATTGTCGTGAGCCACGGCTGCTCGCCCAATTGGATTAACATTTTTGGACGAGAGGCGAAGCGAAACCCCAATCTGCAGTTGGGGAATGTTCGGCGAGACGTGTGTCTGCTGGGCATAGGCTGTATAGGCCGCACGTGTACAATGCGCCGTGTGCATGTCAAGAAAATATTGGGCAGTTTCATGGCAGCAGCTCATCTGTGATCTCAACCTTATGCCTCGGGGGAATCGTGCGAAGCTGGGCAACGGTTGCAGCGACGACGATGCTGAGGCACGAACGAAAAATTCAAAGAGGAGAGGTACTTGCCTATTTTGGCTCCGCGCTTTACAGTCGAAACGACAAACTCTTACTATTTGTCAATCCTGAAACTCCTCCGACATACAGCAGGACGTCAATGGAACCTGCACCCAACACTTGTGCGGGCACTCTTGCCAACAAGAAACGATACGAACTCCGCGGCGGTTGTGCAATAATCGAACTACTCTACGTCCCAAGACCCGACAACACACTGAAACATTCGCCAATTAATCCCGGACTCGTTTATCTGTCGGCATAAGAGACTCGGTTCTTGCAAAAAAATAAATATACTACGGGACGTGATAGCTGAATGCATTCCCTAGTGTTGTCCATGGAGCGTCACTTCTCCCACGCCCCCAAGTTCCCAGTGCCTCATGATCGAACCGTCGTTGTCTCCGCACAAGATACTGTTCGTGAACCGGCAATACTGCTGTGTATCGATGGAGCCGCCGCCGTTGAAAATCCCCCAAAGCTGCTCTTCTCGGCTACCCCTCTTCAGGGACGCGCGAAAGAAGCGCGAACCCCCCCGCGCTGCTTCTTGCCGCCAGAACCTTGATCGGCACGCCGAACCAGAGATTCCGGAAGCATTCATGGAGTTGTGGGGAACCCGGAAACGAGCAAGAAAGCGACAGTCAGGGGGGAACGGCAAACGGCACACGATCGTCCGGTGGGGGTTGCTCAAAATAATACCGGTATGTGCCCGCCGAAACACTGGCGCTATTATTCAGAATCGTGCCGAATAGTGCCAAACTGCTGAGGGCTCTGGCTGTGCTCGCCTGAGATATTTCCGGCACAATACTGGGCATCGCACTACTGAGGGCCCCCCGTTGCTGTGTGCGTGTCGACTACGTAGGACATCCGTGCGGACAGGGGCAAGACTCGCTTGACCATGAACACCGGCACTGTTAACTCTTGACATACCGCACCTGTGTGTGTGTATGTGTGAAACGTGTTGTATTCTTACATTTCTTTTCAACGAGCGACGGGGGATGGACTGGATTTGCAACTCCTCGCGCACGCATGTCACCACAGTAGAAATCAGGGGGGGGAACGCCTGCTTTGTAAACTGCGTACATACCCTCGTCGACCATGCAACACAGTTTCTCAGTTTCAACGACACTGACTGCTATTGCACAGAACCAACCGTCAGTTGAAAGTTACAATCTCCCGAAGCGAAACGGCGTGAGTTTCGCCGCGGTTCTCCCGACGGCGCACCTTTCCATCGTTTACGAAGAACTTGTACGTCTTGACCTCGTTCTTGTCCTTGCCGAATTTGAGTGGGCCTAGCTTCACGGCACCCAGCATAAACGCCAACTCGTTCTCCTCGCCCCCCCTCCACCAGCACTTGCCGCGCATGCTGCAGTTCGGGGGCCAAGCGGGAGGGCGGCGGAGGGTGTCACGGCGAGATTTTGGCGAGGGGAAGGGAGAGCCGCATCAACACAGCAGCAGCGGCAGCGCTCGAGAACACTCTTGTTGGGGAAAAAGAGGGACGGTTTGCGTGGCGTGGCTTGGGCAACGCGTGTGGCCTGAGCAGTGTGTGCGGTGCAGGCAAGGAATCACGCCAAGAGCCCCAAATTTTCCTTAGCTCTTGGTGGACGCTCTGCTTAAGCATAAAATAAAGTCATCCACGTACCCCCCGATTGGCAGCGGCCCAGCCGTAGCGTCGATGGAGGCCTCTTCGCGGGACGGGTAGAAGCCGACAAGCTCACGGATCGGCATGTACCCGCTCTTGAGCTGGGTGCTGAAAACGAGCTCCCAGCTACCCTCCACGTCCTCGGCTGCTCTCTCGAGCATACACGGGGGTCGAGGGGGGGCGACAGGGGTCAGACGTTGGGGGGGGCTAGGCGTGACGGACGGATTGTGTGCTGCCACGAGTGGTGTCGTTTGTGACGGTAGTCTTCATTCATTTGTGGCCGATGCTAATGATTCACTTCGAGTATGACCTTATCTCAGGGTTGCATGACAAGGGATTACTTCTGTTGGGGGCAATAGCCTTTGCAGGGTTTGTTGTATTTGGGAACATGTTGGATAAAGCATACAAGCGGGAAGTTGGGTTAGGGTTAGGGTTAGGTAATAGGGTCTGCGTACCCCCTCCCTGTTGTATTTTCCTTGTAATATTGAATTTCCCGCGAAGGCGTTCCGTTGGGGGAAGTGGGAGTGGGGGGGTGGGAGTTCACCGTACCGACGGCCCCCTCACAAGAATCGGCGAAGGGCGAGGATTGCCGGCACGTTCGCACTCCTCGAGGAAACCCACACCAAAACGTTTTGTGGCTGAGCGTCGCACATGCGCGTACGTACCTCTGCAAGACAGCGGGGAGCCGCCATCTTCCGCCAGAACCCTCAGCGCCTCGGACACCTCCGTCATTGGCACTGCTTGTCGGTTGCGAAGAGATCTAGTTTGGAAAAAAAACACAAAGCAGATCTGGGAGACCCACACGGCGGGCAAAGAGTAATTACGTACCACGTGCAGGAAGCAGCACGCCTCTTCCTCAGTCGCTCGAAGAAGCAAATCCACGCAATACCCATCCCTGATGCGGATCACCTGCTCCGGCGTGGATTCGTTTGCGCATAGAGTAGGCCGCTCCCCGCGAGTACGCGATCACCGCGTTATCTAGACTCAAAACTTCGCTTCGCGTAGCACCGGATTCGACCAGGTCACAAGCAGACTAATAACCCGGCCTATTCCCCAACAGCTCGTTGCAAGGAAACCTCAACCTTTACGAGTCTCCACCGCCGTTCGTAACACCGCAGCTGGTTCCACTGACTCCTGGCCCCCGCCCCCGGCCTCCGCGCAAAGAAGCCTCCTTCGTTTAGGAACTCCACGGTGCTCGCTCATGCTTTCGATCGCTCGCGTGCGATGGGGTGCTGGCGTGAGAGCCGAAGGCGACGTTCCTGCTTTGCGTGAGTGTCATCAAGGCCCCGATTGTAACTGTTGACTGCATCATATTCGGGAAACCAGACTTGTGAGCTACCGCTGCGTTTAAAGCAATAGTGGGACGCCGATACCGGGTGGTTTGGGGAACGCTTCGGCCATCTTTGTCAGAGATTCATTCGGGATACATTTTGTACTCCGTGGTTTTTGATCAGCGGAGAAAAAATGGATCTGCATCGAATCCAATGCAAGCCTTGCAGATCGACGTACCGTACACGTTGCCATAGAAAAACAGGTGAGAGCGCCGAGCGTCCACGAGCAAAAACACTCGTTTTTTCGTCTGTCGCACCAACCCTGTTCCCGAAATCTTCAGCTGGAAACTTTCCGGCTTCGGACATTTGTTTGTTCCCGCACAACTGACTCTCCGTCTGGCTGGTTCAAGTTTGCAACAAACGACCAATTTCTGACGCAAAGCAGCAGAACCAAAGGCCGATGTGTGTACGTATACCTATATCTGCGCGCAAGTTTCAACACACCGCGAGGGCCTGGTATGGGCTGTACATGCACTACAGCAGTACGCCGCGTCACTTCTGAACTTCGAACCTTTGTCTCTGAACGAGATAATTTACAGGTATGTAGTAGGCGGAACGAGCATCACGATGGGTTGATAGTCTTCCGTAAATCCAATCGGAAAATCACGGGTTGGTGGTTCTCGGGGCAACTGACTGAGAGTGTCGTGTCTCGCGACTCGCCGCGTGTCCTGAGCTTCCACGAACAGCAACAACAACAACAACAACAATCAAACTGCAGCAGCAGCAGCATCACCACTACCGTCAACCGCGGACAACAATTCGACAATCAACCCCGACAATCTCTCACCCCTGTAACCCTGGCCGGCCTTGGCCTCGTCATCCCCGCCGTGCTTGGCCAATTGTTGGTCGAAGATGGCGTGCTACCCCGGCGTGAACCCGGCTACTGCTGTCTTCACCTCGAGCGGGCCGGTGGCTGAAAGGCCGAAGGACGTGGCGTCGGGGCGGGCGGAAACAGGAGCAGGAGCCCCCGGGAGGGTGATGGTGGGGAGGGAGCAGCTTTGTGGGCGAAACCACGGATGCAGCGTTGAGTACGTAGCGTGGTACTGCTTGGATTGTGACGCTCGTCGCGGCCCTGAAGCGCCAGCAGCGCGACCGGAAAAAATCCATCGACCTGGGGGAACAGGAAGAACCAGCTGCCATCGACGAGCGTCATAATCCGATCGACGATTTCGACTCCAAGCGGCACCGCGCCACCCAACGCCGCATCCGTGGTGTCGCCCGCAAAGCTGCTCCCCCCCCCACCACCACCCTCCGGGGGGCTCCTGCTCCTGTCTCCGCCCGCCCCGACGCCACGTCCTTTGGCCTGTTAGCAACCGCCCCGCTCAAGGCAAGTACAGTAGTAGCCGGGTTCACGCCGGGGCAGCGCGCCATCTTCGACCAACAATTGGCCAAGCACAGCAGAGACGATGAGGCCAAGGCCGGCCAGGGTTGAACGGGCCAACAAGGAGGTGAGGGATTGTCGGGGTTACTTGTCGAATTGTTGCCCTTACAACCAGGCTTCACTGCGGGGTAGTGTTGGTTGATGGTTCAGGGAAGATACCTCCCTTGTCCCTGGGAGTGTGGTTGTACTGCAATACAATGTCGTCTGGACTACAAATGTTGTTGTTGTTGTTTCTCAAATTAGCTCTATAGTCCACAAAAAATGGGGAGCCCGTGGTCTCAAAAATAGGGTACAAACCACTCGGAAAAAGAAAACAAAATGAAAGAAAGAAAGGAACAGGTATCGCACCCACCGTTCGAGAAAAGAGCCCTCGGACACCGATCAAAATAAATCAAAACAAAAACAACAGAAAAATAAAGGAGGACGCTTCCCACACCCGCCGAAAGAACAAATCAAAGGGTAAGGTACCAGCACCAGGCACTGCGCACCAGGGCATGGGAGTATATCGGAGCAAACAGGGTAAAGAGGCGGCAGATGGACAGACAGCCAGACGTACAAGAACAAAGGCAACAGCAAAGCGAGATCAAGGTACCCAACACAGCAGAGTAGGCAGGGAGGTCATGAAAAAAAGAAACATAGCACAGAGGCCGAAGGCAATAAAAAGGACATACATAAAGGAGTATAGCATACGGCAGGGAGGA